GATGCTGAGACCCTTGGCTCCAAACGGGAGACCAGGAGCAGAGCCCAGCAGGGGGCTGTGGAGGTATGTCTGTGCTCAAACTGAGGGGCCTCTCCTGGCAGTGACAAGGTCTCAGGTACAGAGAGTCACAGGGTGGGAGGCCAGCTCCTTCTCTCCTCCGTGGTGTGGTTTTCAATGAACACAGTTGGCTTTCCATAAGTCCACACCTCTCCCTCCCATCCACTAGCCTCTTTGCCTCACTGCTTTTCTTTGAAATGAAGCTTTCTGTTCATTTACGAGGGGAGAGGGCTCTGAAGGCATCACGGCAGGATCAGCTGTGACCCCTCATGTGCTCAGCTCTCCCCACCCCCCCACCCCCCATGAGCAAGCCTGGCAGCACGTGAGGGAGGACCGAGCAGAGCAGTTAGCATACAGGCGCACCTTCCCGCAAAGTCAGCTGAATCGGTAACATTAATCGCATTGGAGGGCAATCTACGAAGCTGGCATGGGGACCCAGAGGTGATTTTCCTGTCTTTAAGTGTGAATTATTCATAAATTGGTTTTAAAAAATTGTCTAGTTAAGCGGCCCCTCCCCCAGGTCCCTCAGGAACACAGTGGAGCTGAGTTAGAGGAACCTTTAGCCTGTGAGAGGAAGGCAGCTAATGCCGATAATTAACCCTCTTCTTGCTTTTCAAGGGAGGTTTTGGCTTGTGGAGTTTTACATGTTGTTCATGGCTGGGCGACTGCTCCCCACAGAGAGGAAGAAAACCTACTCATCTTTTCAGTGGGTCTGACAAAGCAGGAGTCTGCTCACGAGTGTGGCCCAGAGCAAGCGTCCCTACCACCACTCAGGGAGCTGGTGTTGGTAGAAGAGCAGCAACCATTTCCGGGATCACTGGGGGTGGGGTGTGTGTGTGTGTGTGTGTGTGTGTGTGTGTGTGTGTGCTATAGCCACTACATCACTACTGTGCAGGTTCTTGGGGAGGGGGATGGGGCACAGAAGGAGCATTCAGGAAAGTACAAGCACCCTATGGGTGGTGAACACACACCATGGGCCTCTCTGATCAAAAGGCTTCCTGCCCAGTGTGGGTCCCTGGGTGGTGGTACAAATGGTCAGTGCCCTTGGCTGCTAACCGCCCAGCGGTCCCACTGAAATCCTATGGTGTACAGTTCTAGGAGTCCATCAGTAAAAACAGTACAATGGGAGCTGGATGAAGAGGTTCAGAGAGACTGAAGGTGAGTGTCCGCGGGGATCACTGGGCCAGTCCACCCAGACTTAGGCTCTCAACACACGCCCACTGCTCACCGCCGTCCCTGACTCACACCAGCTGCAGGACCGTGTCTCCTGACAGTAAGCGGCTCGATGCACCTGCTTTGTGACAACCTCATGGGACAGACAGGGGGTGGTGGCAGCCATGTGTTATTGAGTCTGTTCCCACTTACCATGACCCTGTGTTTGTGAGGCTGTACATCTTTACGGGAGCAGAAAGTCTCCTCTTCCTCCTACACAGTGGCTACTAGATTCGAACTGCTGACCCTGTGGCTAACAGCTCAGCTCAGCATCCACTAGGTTACCAGCGCTCCTTTGTACAAGGAGACAAAAGCTGGTTGTCAAAAGCTAGAGCACACTCAGCTTCCAACCCCCCCGTGAGAAAGCTTAGCTAGTAAGAGGCTCTCTTGAAACCCCGGGAAAGTGGACCACCCCAGGCTGCCCCCTGTGCCTCTCTCCTGCATCAATACACACCAGTCTGAAGACAGTCCATGTTACTGCTAATTACAATTTGTCACTTCCAACTGTTGATTTTGGAGGAATAGTGTATCTGCTAGGCTTTCTTCTCATGTGTCTGAGATGAGATTTTAAGAAGAAGCTAGAACGTGCTCACCCACGTTCACGGCAGCTCTGTCCACAAAAGGATGGAACAATCTAAGTGCCCATCAATGGGGAGACATATATACCACAGAATAAAAGGGACAAGAAAAATGACTTTCAGAAACATTTACAACTGGGATGAACCTGGAAGACATTATGTTGAGCAAAATAAGTCAATCATAGAAAAACAAATATTATATGCTCCCACTTTTATGAAATGGTATGGATAGGTAAGTACATAGAAAGTCAGGCTCATCAGTGGTTACCAGTGACAGGTGGGGAGGAGAAGGGAAAGTCACTCTCGACAGCAGACACTTACTTTTGGTGCTGGGAATGTAACACTAAACGAGGGTGGCGTGTGCACATAGATACGTTGTTGTTAGGTGCCATTGAGTCATTACAAACTCATAGCAACCCTATGCACAACAGACGCAACACTGCCCAGTACTGCCCCAACCTCACAAGCATTGCTATGCCTCAGCCCACTGCTGCCGCCACTTGGCCAATCCATCTCGCTGGGGGTCTTCCTCTTTTTCTGCAACACTCCACCCTACCAAACATGATCTCCTTCTCCAGTGGCTGGTCCCTCCTGATAATATGTCTGGAGTATGAAAGATTAAGTCTGGCCATCCGGGCCTCCATGGAGCACTCTGGCTGCACTTCTTCCAACACAGATCTGTTTTGTCTTCTGGCAGTCCACAGTTCTTCCAATATTCTCCTCCCACACCATAACTCAAATGCACCAGTTCTTCTATGGTCTTCCTTATTCACTGTCCAACTTTCACATGATCATGAAGCTGTTGAAAATACCATGGCTTGAGTCAGGCGCACCTCAGTCCTCAAACTGACATCTTTGCTCTTCAACACTTTAAAGAGGTCTTGTGCAGCAGATTTGCCTAATGCAATACATTGTTTGATTTCTTGACTGCTGCTTCCATGAGTGTTGATGGTTGATCCAAGAAAAATGAAGTCTTTGACAACTTCACACTCTTTTCTCCATTTATATAGATGTTGCTTATTGATCCAGTGGTGAGGATTTTTGTTTTCTTCATATGGAAATGCAACCATATTGAAGGCTATGCTCTTTGATCTACATCAGTAAGTATTTTAAGTCTTCTTCGCTTTCATCAAGCAAAGTTTATCATCTGCATATTGCAGGTTGTTAATGAATCTCCTTCTAATCCTAATGCCATGTTCTTCGTCATATAATCCAGCTTCCTGGATTATTTGCTCAGCATACAGACTGAATAAGTATGGTGAAAGACTCTTAACTCCAGCATACACCTTTCCAGATTCGAAACCATTCCGTGTCTCCCTATTCTGTTTGAATGACTGCCTGTTGGTGAGTGCACAGGTTCCTCATGAGCACGATGAGGTATTCCGGAATACTCACCCTGTGCAATATCGGGCACAGCTTATCACGATCCACGCAGTCAAAAGGCTCTGCGTCGTCAATAAAGCACAGGTAACAGTATTTTATGCTTCCAGCCAAGATCCATCTTGTCTGAATGTCAGCAATGATAGCTCTCATTCCACATCTGTCTGAATCTGGCTTGTGTGTCTATATATATTGGTGCATGAGGCTTTTTGCTCCCACAAAGATTTAAAAAACCTTGGAAACCCTATACAGGGCTGCTATGAGTTGGAACCGATTCAAAAGCACTTAACAACATATACTCACATACATAATAAAACACATTGTTGTTTTTGTTGTTAGGACCTCCAAGTCAGTTCCGACTCATAATGACCCTGTATAGGGTTCCCAAGGAGCGACTGGTGAATGTGTACTGCTGACCTTGTGGCCCAGTGCATTATCTCACAGCGCCAATCCAGGACTCCAAGCAAACACATAGAGGGCATAAGCACAGATACTCTGTACACACAAACAGCTCAGAAGATTGAATTTTGGGGTGTGAAAGCTTAGGACCCTCACAGTCTCATAGGACAATTCAGTCAACTGGCATAACACAGTTCATCAAGCTGATGTTCTATGTCCTAGCTTGGTGAGTAGTGTCTGGGAGCCTAAAAGCTTTCAAGTGGCCGTCTTGCAGCTTGCAGTCAAATGTAAGAGGAGCTTAAGCCTATGACTGATGGATCTAAACCCAGCCATCACCGTAGACTGAAGGGGACACAGAAAGAATGAAAGGAAAGACCACAGTCTGCTTCTTGGAAATGTACAGGAAGCGGACAGGCCAAAAGAGCTACATCTGTTGAGCTCCAAAAGAAAAGGAGCATTCTGGGAGCAGCGAGGAACTTAGCATTGCTGGGCCTTCTCGCTTCCAGGGGGCAGAGCCACAGCCTCCTAGGTTTCCCAGATTCGGCTCTTCACTATGTGGTTCTGACAGGTGGGCCACCATTACGGAGTACTGGGCAGCTGAGACCAAGCCGAGTCACCACTCAGAGGGACGGAGAGCATCGGGGCATCCCAAGCCGAGGGACAAGTGCAGCCGAGGGGCTTCCCCAGAGTGTGGTCTCAGGAGACACGGGGGTCTTTCTAAGGCTTTGGATCTAATGTCACTTTCAGACTTGCCTGGTGCCTTTAATCCCTCCTTTCACTTAGTCCCACCCCCCACCCCCCCATTTGGAGTAGAAATGTCCACCTTGCGCCTGTCCCATCGCTGTACGTTGCATGAAGATACCTTGGATTCTGATTTCACAGGTCCTCAGATGAAGACGACTTTTTCCCCACATTGGGCTATGCTTAAAGACTCACCCATATTTGATTCAGATGATTTAGAAGATGGAACTTTGGACTTGCAGTTGATTCAAGACTTTGGGGAAGATGTGATGAGGAGAATGCGTTTTGCATATAGCAAAGACATGAAGTTTTGGGGGCCCAAGGGTGAAATGCTATGGGTTGAACTGTGTCCCCCCAGAATATGTGCTGCAAATCATAATCTCTATGCCTAACATTATAATTCAAACTGGAATGGGTAGTTAATGACACAAGATTAGTGTAAGATGTGTCTTAAGTCAATCTCTTTTGAGATGTAAAAGATTCAACAAGGAAGTGAGAAGTAGAGGCAGGGTCAGACAGATGTCAAGCTACACCGGAAGCTGAAGAGACAAGAGAGAGTCTCCCCTTCGGGCTGGTGTTCTGAGCCTCTTAAACTGTGAGAAGTAAGTTTCTGCTTGTTGAAGCAGTGCACCTGCGGCATTCGTGTCACTGCAACCTTGGAGCACACACCAACCACAGGGTTTCGAAGGCTGCAGACTGCTTGCTACAGCTTTCTCCCAGGAAGTGATTGGTGGGTTCCAACTGCTGACCTTTTGCTTAATAGTCATACACTTAAGTGCCATCGAGTTGGTTCCAACTCATAGCATCCCATATAGGGTTTCCAAGGAGTGGCTGGGGAGCTTGAACCGCTGACCCTGCTATCCAGTGCATTAACCTGCAGCGCCACACCAGGACTCACAGAGAAAACAGGATATGCAATTTTTTAAAGATACCACTTTCATAGCACGAAAAAGCCAAGTACCTAAGAACAAATGTAATACCTCACTCCTAAGAGCAATTCAAAGGAGCTCTGGTAGCATAGTGCATATGAGTCAGGCTGCTGACCTCAAGGTCAGCAGTTTGAAATTACCAGCAGTTCCGCGGAAAAAAGATGAGGCTTTCTGCTCCCGTAAATGTTTACAGCCTCAGAAACCCTAGACAGGGCCGCTATGAGTTGGAACCGACTCCACGGCATATAACCACCACCATCAAGAGCAATTAAAGACCTAGGTAAATGGGGCTATATAGAACACACGTATGGACTGGAAAGGTATCAACCTCCTGCAAGTCACTCTACAGGTCAACTGAAATCGCAACAAAAATCCCAGCAAGTTCTTTGCTGAAACTGAGAAATTCATACAGAAATGCAAGAAGCCAAATAATCAAGGCAATTCTGAAAAACACAGACCACTAGTTGTCAGTGACCCCATAAAGCTCTCATGCCTAAGACTGTGTATTCTGCAAAGACAAGGTCCCGAGGACCACGACAGAGGCCCTACAGCCACCCTGAAAAACTCTGGCAGTCCCCACTAGAAGGGAATACATGCATAGCTGAGATCCAGACACCTCACACCTAGAAGAAGTTCTGGGCACCTGTGTTCACCAAAGGACACGTATAAGAATTAGTAGCACGTGGGCCAGGTCGAGGTACTTATCTTGGGCACAACAGTTAAGAGGGGAGACAAAAACTAAGTAATCAAGGTAATTAATATTCTAAGATAATACTACAAAAATAAAAAATAAAAACAAGTGTAAAAATCCATCAGGAACCAAATATCAAAGTTCTAAATAAAGACATGGCTAACGTAACCGAGTTTCCCTTTGCCTCGGTGAAGGCCGTGGCACGAGCAGCATGGCTCAGAACAGCCTGCTGGTCATGGTGGGGGAATCAGTTTTGGAGTATTCGTCTCCACAGTGGTCCTCTATCCTGGAGGAGAACGAGCCATTGTGACATGCAGCCAACAGGACATTGAGCGAGAACAGGGCTGACGCAGAGACCACGGGAGGCATGTTCTGCTTCCCTGGGGCACAAGCAGGCACGTGCTTATAGGAACGGGGGCTAGAGGGGCATTAAGGGAGGGGCCCTTGGGTGCTATTTAGGTTCTGTTGCTTGATTTGGGTGCTGGTTATTGGAGCAGGCTCACTCGTGAGAACCGCCCACTGAGCTGTACACTGAGATGCAGCTGTTTTCTAAGTGGGGGTCCTGCTGCCCCCTCCCCAGGTACAGAATACTGATGACAGAAGTTCAGGAATGAACTATGCAGATGCTTGGTAAGAATGCCTGGTGCTGCATACACAGTATCTACTAAAAAAGACGTCCAGGTGGGGGCACACAGACACACGGACACACGGACACAGACACCACCCACCACAGTCAGGGGCTGGTGGTCCCCAAGTCCTTCCCCATGTGGCAAACAGCCCCTTAGCGATTCCAGGAGAAACAGCGGAGAAGCCGTGCAGGACTAAGCTGTGAGGGTCAGTGGGAGGAGAGGCACCTGCAGGCGCTCCAGCCACAGGATGCCCAATCCAGGCAGGATCTGGGGCCCTGGTGTGTCAGCCCACCATGGAGCTGGGCGGTATGATTCAGTCAAAGGCTGAAGGAAGCGTCGGGCACCCCCCTGCGCTGTAGGAAAGTCTGTATTATGGAAAGCAGTGTTTACAGAAGAGATCATTTTTCAAAACTCCGTGATTTCAAACCAGAACCTCAAAAAACCCGAAGCAGACCAGTGGCTGTGTAGGTGATAGCGACTCAGGGCGCCCCCGTGTGGGTCAGAGCAGAACTGCGCCTCACAGGGTTCTCTACAGCTGGGGTGTGGGTGAAGATCACCAGGCCTTTCTACTGATGTACCCCTGGGGGGACTGGAAGCTCCGACCTTTGGATCGGTAGTCAAGCACTTAACCATTAATCCACCCAGGAAGTTGACATCAACCCGGTTTCATCCAGTCTCGTAAGCGTCTGGTGATTGGCACCTGGAGGCGGCACCCAGATGGTGACTCTGCAGACCCAGGACGGCCTGCGTACTCACCCGAAACGCCGTGCCTTCCTCGATGATTGTTGGCAGCTGAGAGAGACAAATGTCCACGGCCAGGTCCCAGGCTTGCCTGAAAAGGGAAAAGAGGAGACCACATGCATTAGTCCCTGGCAGCTGAGGCCCGGGCAGAGGGCAAAGAGCAAAAGGTAGGGAGGGAGGACCCGCTGGAGAAGTGGCCTGGGATGCCGTCCAGGATGGTGGCTGGAAAGAACGTAGTTACCGCAAGCGCTGGTGTCTATAACCGTCCTATCCATTTAGACTTTTTCTCTTTAAACTAAAGTAAGAGAACAGCCTGGGAAGTAAAGGAAGCCTTCCCAGTTTGTGATGCACTTTACAAAAGCCCGTTGTCTTCCGACGCAGACTTGAACACGGCTGGCACCACAGCCCGGCTGCTGGAATTGAGGAGCTGCAGCCAGCGTGGTGCCCACGTAAGTACTGGTGGGTGTGACTCTCCAGCCACTGGGTCTGGTCCCTGTGAGGAGCTGCGGCCAGTGCTAGTTATTAGCTGCAGCTGAGTGGGCTCCAACTCATAGCAATCCTGTACACAACGGCGTAAGACGCTGCCCAGTCCTCCACATGCTCACAGTCGTGCTAAATCTGAGTCTACTGCAGCCACCTCTGTCAGTGCATCTTATGGAGAGTGCGGCACCTGCCTGAGTACTGGGGGGCTTGCCTGTCCAGGCATTGGATCAGGTTTGTATGAGGAGCCCTGGGGATGCTGTGGGTGAGGTGTTTGCTGTTAACCACAAGGTCGATGGTTCAAACTCATCATCTGCAGAAGAAAGGTGAGGCTGTCTGCGCCCATCAAAATTTTGTCTCAGAAACCCTACAGTGGGTTGCTATGCATCGTAAAGGACTCTACGGCAGCTCTGAAATGGCCAGTGTCACCAAAGGGGAGCACACAGCGGGATACCAGGTGCTCTTGTCACATTGGCCTAGAGAAGGTGGTCCCACCTGGGGACCCGGGAAGACCGAATGTTTGTAGGTGGTCTGCACCCTCGAGGACAAGATGGGCAGTTCTAATGGTGGAGGCCTCAGCCATACTCCCCACCCATCTCTGATGGCAGCAGGGCTTGCTCAGTAACTCCATCCACCTGTCATCTTCAAACACACCTGTGAAAATGTGCGAGTCTGCTTTGACCATACGCCCACCTTGCTAGAGTCACAGGTCCAGGCCTAGCGCACGCAGCCCTACAGCCACGAGTCCCGCCCCCACCCCTCAATCTAGCTGCCTGCCTGGTGGATGCTGTTTTTAAATAATTCTCCAGTGGAGGTGTAAAAACCCATCACAAGACCATGTGTGTTGCTTCATAAAATACGCGCTTACGTAACTGGGGAGGGTGAGTGAGAGGTCCCCGGTGGCCCTAGCTCCGTTACAGCTGCTCTTAAGGAAGTTTCTCTGGCGCCTGCCTCCTCTGGCCCAGGTAACATCAGGTGGCCTGAGAGGACAGCCAGACAGGCACTGGCCCTGGAACCACACCGGGCTCTGTATCTTTCCCTAGATGGATAATTTCGGGCCGTGTTTAATATGATACAATGGTTAGCACTCTGAACTTTGGATCCAGTGATCCGAGTTCAAATCTTAGTGGAACTTTGCCTGGGCCCCACCCTTCGGAGTCCCGGTGAGGCACTGCGGGTTAATGCGCTGGACTGCAAAGTCGGTTTGAACCACAAGGTCGGAGCTTCAAGCTCACCAGCTACTCCTCAAAAACCCTGTGAGTAGTAAAACTGACTCAACAGCACTTAACAATGTTTAATGAACTTTTTACCTTAACAACTTATAGAAAGGGCACGAAACCAGCACAGAGAGCATCTAGCTGTAATTTCTCAAGCCTCGGTTTCATTATTTGTATGGCTGACAGGCACCTGAGGGAGGAGAGTGGGGGCGCTCAGGCACCTAGAGGAGGAGAGTGGGAGAGTGGGGGCGCTCAGGCACCTAGAGGAGGAGAATGGGGGCGCTCAGGCACCTAGAGGAGGAGAGTGGGGGTGCTCAGGCACCTAGAGGAGGAGAGTGAGGGCGCTCAGGCACCTAGAGGAGGAGAGTGAGGGTGCTCAGGCACCTAGAGGAGGAGAGTGGGGGCACTCAGGCACCTAGAGTGGGGGAGTGGGGGGTGCTCAGGCACCTAGAGGAGGAGAGTGGGGGGCGCTCAGGCACCTAGAGGAGGAGAGGGGGGCGCTCAGGCACCTAGAGGAGGAGAGTGGGGGGCG